AAGGATTTCTTGAAAGCAAAATATTTTTTTACAAATGGCCCATGAAAATTAACTTTTATGCCTCCGCCATATTACAATTATTTTCAATTTATATTTTCTTGCATATAACTTTATTTTAGTTAATTTAGCAATGAGAAAATATTTAGAATGCAAAAATCATGAGAAATAAAAATTTCGGCAAACCTTAATGATCGATCTGAAGAATATATTTTTTTTTTCTTAATGTTAAATAATTAGTAAAATCGATGTTTTCCGTGGGCGGACTCAAGTTTTTCGATGTTATCACGTACATTTCACAACAAATTTTATATGGCACCTAAAACTAGGCCACTTCATGAGAACTATTTAATAATTTTGGAAATTCGGCAGGATTTTTATACGATCAGTTTTTATTTTAATTATTTTGATAAGATCGGAGGGTATTTATTAATCCTTTTTTATCTTGATTGTTGTTTTTCTAGTGAACTTAGCAAGCAGCTAGGGTAAAAAGGCTCGGATAATGGTTTTAATTGTTGCCAAATAGCTTTTATTGTAGCTTAAATACGGTTTTGAAATGGATCTCAATGCATTTATCGTACAACCATTTTGCAGTAAATCAATCTTAAAGAGCTTCGAAGATATACCCTTCAGAACCTTCTCCAGAGTGGGCCAACTAGACAGATTCTAGCATCAATGAGGTTTTGGTGGATGCATCAATGGCAAAGCAGTCTTGGCCAAGGTTTTATGAATGTTGTTTTATAGTTGCTTTGTAGTATTTCATAAAACTTAAAATGTTACTTGGGCGTATAGGTACGACGACAATTCATAGACCGGAAATCGAGCTGAACCTGCATTATTGATTTTCTCTTTTCTTTTAACTGATTCTTATGTCAAGAAGGCCGCTTACATGTGTCGGTCTCAGGGAACCGAAATTTACACGTCTTTTTCGTAGTGTGTAACATTCATAAGAAAAATTGTCATATGGCTTCGACATCAACATTTCTAACTGATTTAGATGAATTTAGGCAAGCAACAGTATGTAAATGGTAGAGAGATTTTATTTTTCAGATTTCCGCGGTACAAGTCACATTAATATCAATGAATGAGCTAGTAATTGTGATGTTTACAATACTGTCACGTTTTGTCATGAACAAGGAATCAAAAATATCTCCAAATGACAAAATAACAAGCGATTAACGAGCGGAATGATAACGCTATGTTAGAAGTACAAAGCAATAATGATATAATCTTCTTCTTTTTTTTGTGACAAGTAGCCCGTGCGACCAGGGTTGAAAAATCATGAAAAAATCACCAGCATTCTCTATGAAATGAATTTTTCATCCATAGTGAACTTTGATGAATTTTAGTGATTTTTTCAGCCCTGCGTGCGACACAGCTCACTCGGGGAGGTAGAAGGAAATGAGCAAATTTTTGTTATGTATTTTTTCGATTCAGATCAGGTTATGTCTTCATCCGCGTATATTGCAACAAAACTGGTAAGTAATATATCATTATCCTACTACCACTCCCATTGAGCTATGTTACAGAGCGAGTTTGTCATGGTAGTCGTGGCAACCGTTTCGTCTGTATCGTTGGTTGCTTTACGTGTTTGGATTCGTTGATCATGACAAAAAATCGATGAGATTTTGAAATAAATCTCTATCATCGTTTTCTCATCTGATGATAGTGACAGAATTATCTCTGCAAATATCGCGTGAGATCTTTCATGGAAAATTATATTTGTCAGCTCTGCTCCTGGTTTTGTCCAAAAATCAAAACAGCTTTTGGGCTGAAGTCGTACGCAGCAAAAGATAAATTGTAATATCACATTCAAGAGGATGCCTTTCAATCATGTCGAAAATCACATGTAATTTTTATGGCCACAAAAAAAAAGCAGCGTAATGTCAGTGCATGCACAGTATTAATGATAATTTAAAAGACACTGCATTTCACACGTTAAAACTATCTTTTGAACAGTTATCCAGTGAGATTGGGATAGCTGTCATAATGACTTTTTAATAATTATTGTAGCCCGGTAAACACTATTTTGTTCGCTACAATGGTGATGATGGATTTTTAATATCTAATGTAATAGTAGTAGATTAAAAAAAAGCAGTCCACAAAGGTTTAAGCCTCGCGCGCGTATTACGGATATAGAGGACTGAATTTAAAATTTGTTTTAAAAAATGCAATTTTGTAACTTATTTGAAAGATAACTTGATTTAGTAGCAAGTTTTCTTGCAAATGTTGGGGGTTCGTGACCATTTCTGATATTTCTGAAAATTATGATAGCATCAGATTGCGGGGTTGCTAGTGTAATACCTATGCTTGTAATACCTATGAATATTTAAGGTGGACGAAAAGGCGAACTAAGAGGTTGACGCCGCCCAACATGCTTTTCAGCAAGAAATCCCTCAACTATTGATTTGGTCTTAACTGATTCATGTCAACTTTGTAGCCAATTGGTTACCCATGCTGACTTCGGTTCTGATCACCTTCCAGTAACTTTTGAAATATCCCAAGAAATAATTTCTAATCCCAACAGCTTTACTTTCAATTACCATAGGGCTGATTGGGAGCAATATCGAACATTTATGGAATATAACTTCGATCCAAACATTCCTTTGCAAACCAAAGATGAAATTAATTATGCTCTTGAATCTCTGACTACTTCTATAGTTGAAGCAAGAGCTGCCTCAGTACCAAAATGCGAGGTTAAATTCGATTCAATTATAATAGACGATGATCTTCAGCTCTTGATCCGTCTTAAAAATGTCCGTAGGAGACAATTTCAAAGAACACGTGATCCTGCCATGAAAGTTATCTGGCGGGATTCACAAAAACAAATTAAAAAGCGATTCTCTGCCCTGAGGAACAAAACTTTTGAAAATAATGTTTCTAAATAAGACCCGAGTTCCAAACCCTTTTGGAAACTTACAAAATTTTTGAAAAAACCTCAAAAGCCAATTCCAGCGCTTAAAGAAGGTGGTAAAATTTTGATCACAAATTTGGAAAAAGCTCAGAAACTTGCTAAGCAATTCGAGAGTTCCCATAATTTCAGTTTGGGTCTTACTAGTCCTATTGAGAATCAGGTTGTTCGGGATTATCTGAATATTTTCTCTCGGGAAAATATTTTTGATGATTCCTAGGGGACTGATTTGGACGAAGTAAGGTCTATAACTAAAAAGTTTCATAATATGAAAGCTCCAGCTGATGATGGAATTTTCTATTTCCTCACCAAAAAACTCCCAGAGAGTACCTTGTCTTTCTTGGTAAAATTATTTAACAGATGTTTCCATTTGGCATACTTTCCTGATAAATGGAAAAATGCAAAAGTTGCGGCGGATAAAAATCCAGCTGAAGCTTCTAGCTACCGTCCAATAAGTTTGCTTTCTTCAATAAGTAAACTTTTTGAAAAGATAATTTTAAATAGAATGATGCTTCACATCAATACGAACTCAACTTTTTGCAGATGAGCAGTTTGGATTTCGCCATGGGCATTCAACTACTCATCAACTCTTAATAGTTACCAATTTAATTCGTTCAAACAAATCTGAAGGCCACTCAACTTGACATAGAAAAAGCAATTGCTAAATTGAAAAAGTTTAATTTTCCACTTTATATTAAGAAATTAGTTCAAAATTATTTAACTGACAGAACTCTGCAGGTAAATTATCAAAATTCCATATTTGATCGACTACATGTTAGAGCAGGAGTGCCTCAGGGTAGCATTCTTGGGCCTATATTGTATAACATTTTCACTTCGGACCTCTCTTATTTGCCTCAGGGTTGCCACAAATCTTTGTTCGCTGATGACACAGGCATTTCTGCTAAAGGAAGAATTCTTCGTGTTATTTGCAGTAGACTGCAGAAAAGTTTAGATATTTTCGCTTCTTATTTACAAAAATGGAAGATATCTCCCAACGCTTCCAAAACTCAACTTATAATATTTCCACATTAGCCTAGAGCTTCGTTTTTGAAACCTAGTAGTAGTCACATAGCCACTATGAACGGAGTTCTAATTTCCTGGTCAAACCAAGTGAAATATCTTGGATTAGTACTTGACCAAAAATTAACTTTTAAAGATCACATTGAGGGCATTCAAGCCAAATGTAACAAATATATAAGGGGGGCGACCCCGGCGTAGTGGTTAACATCCATACCTCTCACGCCAAAGTCACGAGTTCAAATCTCACCCCCGGACAAGTCACGAATGACCCAAGAGTGTTAAAGTGACTATAATAAAAAAAAAAAAAACAAATATATAAAATGTTTGTATCCTCTTATAATCAGGAAATCCAAACTTTGCCTGACGAATAAACTTCTAATATCTAAACAAATGTTTAGACCGGTAATGCTTTACGCTGTGCCAATATGGTCTACCTAGTTGTTGTACTACCAGGAAAAAAGCACTTCAAGGGATTCAGAACAAAGTTCTGAAGATGATTTTGAAGTTGCCTCCCTGGTACAGTACTACCGAGGTACATAGAATTTCGAATGTTGAGACTTTACAACAAATGTCCAACAAAATAATTAATAATGTCAGGCAAAAATCTTTGCAATCCTCAATTGCAACGTTTAATTCCCTTTATACTTAGATAAGATTTAGTTTTAGTTTTTAGTTTAAAGATTTCAATTGTTATACTGATTTAAAAACCCTGCTTCCAAGCAGGAACAATGTAAACACACTTAGATATATATCATAACAATTAAGTCTGGTAATTTATTGTAGTAACTGGAGCATCTAGGTTAAATTGAAAAAAAAGTTTTCGACTTTTTCCTGCAGTTTCCTCCAACACCCCGTAGTTGGCTCCTTTGGATAGGTTCATTCAATTTCCCGAAGTAAATTATCTCGGTTGTGTGATAATTTGTAATACAAATTTATATTTAGCTTGATTTCTGTACAAAATAGCTTTTTCCCGGGAAGTAAAACTAGTTTCCCGTGAATTGTGAAATGTGAAGTTTGGTAAATTTCCTGGGAATTGTTTCTCGGGACTTTTCGGGTAGGAAATACTACTTACCGCTAATGACGCTGCACACAGGGCGTAGTTGCTATTCATCAGATAAATCGTTGCACATTGGCTTACTGCTGCTAACTGAGTCTGCCCGGCCGGAAGAACTCCTGCCCGGAAAAAGCACCCATAGCAAGCATCTCGGGTGGTAATGGACGTTGATTGGGTTGCATTGCAAAGCAGATTGAACAACGAAAGCAGCCTGTGATTATTGTTACTGCACACCGGTTTTTCGTCAGACCACGGTTGAATTAATTTGAATCCATATGTGAATTGAAGCATGACTAGCAAGGATACGGCACCGATCGAAATAAAACGAAAAACTGCACTTTGCTTCCGGCACTTCATTTTATGATGCACTTTTGATTGAGTTCAACAACCAACTGACACATACTGCACGGCGAGGAAATGTATGTAGAATATTTGATTCACTTTCTATTTGGGATGACTGCCGTTCTCTACATATGTGATTAAAACTATCAAATGTGGATATGACAGACATCGTAGGTGCAACGATGGTGTTGATGGTAATGGTGGTTGTATAGGAATGTCACGCTTTTATGATTTCATTTTCACTCTCTAGATCGTTTCCGTTCTATCGATCGTGTAAATTCGCACAAATGGTAGTTAGCAAAGTTAAAACAGGAACACATTATTCTTGTTAAATCTGATACTTTCCAGCACATCAAAAAGGGTTGCTCAATACGATTTATGTTAGTAAATTGAATGGTTTGCATGAATGGAAGAAAACAACTGTTGTTGCTGTTCGAACCGTAGTCTGAAGTCTGGATTTACATCAACGTGTGGAGTGTTTCAAAAAAGTAAAAAAAGTAAAGTCTGGAATTTCAAACGCTACCCCCTGAAATGGTGGTTTCGGGCGTCAGAAATACCATCCCCCTTATTTTGCGAGCTATTCAAATGGAGAGTCACCTGACTCGCGGCGCAAAATAAGTGGGCCTACCATAATTTGAAATCATTTGGTTCACGGGAGCCCCTCGCTCAAAGGGTTTGAAGCTTGTATGAGGAAAATCGACAATATGTATGCACAGCAAAAAAATAATTTTGATATCACATCAAAGTGGATGCACTACAATCATGTCGAAAATTTCATGTAATTTTTATGACCACATAAATAAACAAATGCAGTAAAAGCAGCGTAATGTCAGTTCATGCATTGTATTAATGATAATTTTGTCCTTTTTAGCAAGTAATATTACACCATATTTTCGACATGATTGTAGTGCATCCACTTTGACGTGATATCAAAATTATTTTTTTGCTGTGTGGGGGAACTAGCCACTTTCACAATCGCGGCTCCAGGTGGCGCTGTAGTTGGTCGATTTTCTTCGTGTACAAAATATAGAACCTTTAGTGAATTGGGAATATCTTGGCACAAGACCGAATGTGAATCCGAGTTACCCCCAAAAAGTTATTAGCGTATCAAATGAACACCACCTGCTTTACTTTTGGTGAGGGCCTAACGCGCTTTGTGCGGTTTATATTTTTACGAACAGGCATACGAATAGCAATGTTTGCATGGGTATACCTGCCCCGTAACGTGGGTAGATCACCTTTTCGTGGTACGTTACGGGATGTAAGAAGACTCCACTTTGTCCACCGAGGATGATCTTGAAACATGGAACAAATGAGTTAGTTAGTCTTCATCTATGTGATTCCTAATCTTCTATTCGTTGTTCCCTAGTTTGAATTGGTTAAGACTAGGGTTCTGATGCATGGTCATTATCGGTGTCATACCTTAATTTTGTTGCTAAGGAATCCAATTTTGACTGACAAAGGGGCGCGCCTTTGGAGTGTGTTCCAACACTCCGAAGGGTATAAATAGCGGGACCTTTCAATTAGAATCGATTCCTTGCGATGAAAGCAAGACTAACAACTGTATCAAAACCGAATACTTCATCATTTCTCAATAGTGATGGAGTAATACGACATGCACTAAACTAAGGGCACGGGACATTACAAAATTACTGGTCGCAGTGATGATAGGTCCCGAACAGAGGAAAAAAATGGGTATACCTGTTTTGTTGCATCATGGAATTGGCTGAAATTTGCACAGTAAGTAGAAAAAGGTTCCAACTTATGGTCTACTGAAACAATTGGAACAGATTGGCCAAGTGGTTCCGGTTTTATTCCGAGTTTCCGAAAGGCCATCCGGGAGAGAAAAGTTAGCAGTCGTCTGGAACAAGGTGGAAATCCACAGCAGCAGGCATCTATGGGAAGTGCTGATTAATATTTTAACAAAACCAACCCACAACCTGGTTCTAAATATTAAGTGTCCACCGGAACGCCATCCGGTGACCCGAATTAACCATAATTGTGTATTTTTGATCAAAGTATGCCTTGATTATTCTCTGCAACTATATGACATTAAGTAAAATGATGAACAGACGACCCGCCGAAAGGTTCGGAACACCCGTAAAATTGATTGCTGTGTTGTTCTGATACTATATGGAATGTAGTAAAATGGCGATTTTTTATATATAGTAAAGTCTGGAACGCGCAAAAATTGGTCAACTTCAAATTGGTGTATTTCTGTTAAAAATGCATAAAAAAAACCTGAAATGCTGCATTTTGAATATGAGTGTATATTGCAATAATTAGTTTTCACCGTTTGCTTTCCAAGCAAGAGGAGCAGCGTGTCAAAATTTTGCTTGCCTAGCAAGAAAATCCAACGTTCTCACACGCCAAGTTGGCAAAATTCCTGGATGTGGCCAAATCGACCGTGACAAACGTTTTAAAACTGTTCGGGGAGCGTCTGTCGACCGCCAGGAAGCCTGGAAACGGCAGCAATCGTAATCCGGACGTGGCAGTGACGACGAAGAAGGTGGCGGTGAAATATAAGCGGAATCCTAACCTCTCCATCCGGGACGTTGCTGGCAAGCTCAATGTCTCCCATACTACTGTGCAGCGGGCCAAGAAACGAGCCGGGTTGTCGACGGTTAAGAAGGTGAAAGTGGCGAACCGAAACAAACACGCCGGCAAAGCAGCGGTCCCGAAAGCTGTATACGAATCTGCTTACAAAGTTCAACTGTGTCGTCATGAACGACGAAACTTATGTCAAGGCGGATTTCAAGCAGCTTGCGGGACAGGAGTTTTATACCGCATCAGGAAAAGGGAAGGTGGCTGAAATTTTCAAAACCATCAAACTATCGAAGTTCCCAAAAACATATCTCGTCTGGCAGCCCGAAAAAATGTTTCGTCTGGCAGGCCATATGCACCCTCTCTATCTCGATTTAGATAAAATACACGACTTTTATGTCTTGAGCAAAGTAGTTTCTTACAATTTTTGCTATAACTTTGCTCAAGACCTTAACCCTCTATCTCGACATTGTGAAAAAATTAATTTTTCATATCACTGTTAGGGAGATTAATCACATAATTCATATCATCCAAAGAAGAAGCATGTCATATTGTCGTAGTCATACCCATCAACTTTGCCCAAGGTGACATTATTCTAAATCCACTCTTCACGGTGCTATTAATTAAGAGCGTCAAATTGGACTTTTAAACCACTGTGCAGTGGCTGAAAGTGTCTTAAATAAAGAAAAAGAAGAAAAAGTAGCCTAGCCTACACAGAAAAAAAAAAATTTGAATTTTAAATATAGCTTAAAATCTCCCTTCGTTTGATTTTGAGCTATACTTGGCATAAACAGCGAAATCGTTTAAAAGTTTTCATACAATATTGCTAATTTATGCGATATTGCGCTTAAATTTACACGAAATATTCCGTAAATTTATGCCAAACCTAGCGTTAATTTTATGTGCGCTATATCTCGTAGAAATTTACATGAATTTTTCGAACGGTGTAGTAGGGTAGAGAACTACTTCGGCCTAATCGCCCATTTTGGGCCTATCGATCAGAAAACTTCAAATAAATCCATGATTTCAGAGTTAACAAGTCAATTATGCGTTTGGTACGATACTTTAGTTAATAAGCTACCGAACGAAGTCAATGAGAACGAGTGATATGAACGTTTGCACTCATTATTCCCAAAAACAAAGGAAGCGCTCCGACCGATTCAATTTTTATCTTCATCCGATAGGCCGAAGTGAATTCATTGTCGTTTCAAAGGCGTTTCAATGCGTTAGGCCGAGTTAAGAATCCGTAGGCCGAGTTTGGCGTCAAGAAGCAGTGTTAGACTTTTGACAATATCTCAACGATTAGTTTCTTTTTATCAAATCTTACGGTACATATGGAAAGGTAAATAAATTTGGATGTCATTAGCAATAATAACATTCCGTTTGGTACTAAACTGCTTAAACTGCTAGATTAAGAGAGACTAAGTGCGGGTTGTGCTTAATAGGCCGGAAATGGGGTACTTAACCCTATCAACAGCCCGGTCGAATTTGAAATTTTCTCGACTATCATGAGTATAGAGCCAAAGCCAAAGTAAGAAGGAAAAATATGACTTCATATATCCATGTTATTTGAACGCTCAATGTTTGTGTAGATATTGTCAGTCCGGATACACTAAACACTAGTAGAGATTTGAGAGATACACGTCACCTACATATTCGGATGTGCACAATGTGTTGTACTCTAAATATTACTGACATCAAACTATGGTTTGTAATTTCTTCGTGATATGATACACATCACATAACGAGTTTTTAGGAACATTTGGCCAAACTCGGTATCATTATATATTACGCCCGGTATATTACACCCAAATAGTAACGCAAGGTTCTTAGCAGCTTCTAAGATTCCTTTGGCCGTCTTGGGATTGCTAGAAGCAGCGCACATACAAACCTAATCCCCTAGCTGGTTCTCCAAATCAACACTATTTCACATCCATATTTCTTGCCGTGGCTTCCCTTAATTTGTGCGTGAAGTGTCGTTTTCTGTGCCTGGTACGCTATACTGATGCAAAATTTTACATTTTCGCTCCACAGTGCTCAAGCGATTCCAAATTGCCTCCCAAGGTTTGGTAAGAAACTGACTGTGCACAAACCATTTGAAGTTTATTGGGGAATTACTATGGGGAAACCAAACTTTTTCTTCGTAGTCTTATATCCTTCTTCCATATTGCACCGTTAAAAATTTCTATAGCTATTCTTATGGAAAATTTTCTCAGCTACAACTTTGCGCAATATTGTTTTTAAGCCAAACATTAAATTAAATAGTTCATAATTGTTTAAGAGATTGATAACCTTATGGCATGATCAAGCAACTTTTTTGTAGGCAACACTGTATTCTGCAGTGTGACATAGTAGCCATAATGTTCAAGCTCTATTTTGCGCGCCGGAAATACCAGTGCTGTCTGCTGAGCAGTTGATTGAGCATAATCATAAGACAATAGTGACTTGAATCATTGATAACTTTTGATTTTTACATTTTACCGAAAAATG